TAAAAATAAAAATAAAAATACATCGTGTATATATATCAAAAAGGTCTGAATAATTAAACATATCACAATAGAACAATGAAAATAAACCAAAAACTATCACTTTATTTTTATTTATTTACTTACTTATTTTAGTCTCACTTTGTCACCCTTGGTAGTGTGCCATGGCGTCATAGCTCACAGCAACCTCAAATTCCTGGACTCAAACGATCCTCTTGCCTCAGCCTCCCAAGTAGATGGGACTACAGGTATCCACCACAATGCCCAGCTATGTCTAGAGACGAGGTATCACTCTGGCTCAGGCTGTTCTCGAACCTGTGAGCTCAGGCAATCCACCTGCCTCAGCCTCCCAAGTGCTAGGATTACAGGTGTGAGTCACCAGGCCTGGACCAAAACTATCACTTTAAAAACAGCAGGGAACAGAGAGGTACCAAGGCATCTCAGCAGAAGTAATTACTGCTGTTAAACATAAAACTCAGCATTGAGTTCCAGGGCAACTAAGACAAAGCAAGAAATCCGATGGGGAGAAGAATTCTTGCATGATCAGGCCAGGCATGACAGCTCAAGCCTAGAATTCTAGCAGTCTGGGAGGCCGAGGCAGGAGGATTGCTAGCAGTAGTTCCAGATTACCCTAAACAAGAAGGGACTCTGTCGCTACTAAAAATAGAAAAACTAGCTGGGTATTATGGCAGGCACCTGTAGTACCAGCTACACAGGAAGCTAAGGCAAGAGGATCTCTTGAGGCCAGAAGTTTGAGATTGCTGTGAGCTGTGATGCCATTGCACTCTGGCCTAGAGCAACAGAGTAAGACTGTCTCAAAAAAAATAAAAAGAATTCTTGAGCCCTGGACTTTGAGGTTGCTGTGAGCTGTGATGTCATAGCACTCTAGCCTGGAGCAACAGACTGAGACTGTCTCAAAAAAACAAAAGAAAAAGAATAAAAGAAGAATACAGCATAAAGAAATGGTCTTTTTACCAGCTCCAGAGTTCAAGGAAGCCACAGCAAACTTAGAGTACACTGATATATAATATTATCTATCAAATTCCTTACACCAAGAAAATTAAAGAATAATACATACACATCACATGCTTTCAGTGAACAGTGCAGGACACTGAGTATGAATTTCAGCAGTCCTGTTTCGTGCTTCTATTGTATGATTATTCCTTCATAGGCAGTACCTGTGTCCAGGCTCATGGAGGTCAGTGACAGAGAGTCACGTCGAGGACACGCCTGCACACAGTCCCAGACAACTTCCACGGGAAGAACAGGTAGGGCCACACTGGGGCTATTTACTTCTAATAATACGTATGACGCACTGACTAAACGTTAATCACAGGCTCAATAAAACTGTGAGCAAAACAGACAAGGCCCCTGTCCTTGGCCCTCACTAGAGTCTAGTATGGGAAACACATCAGTGAATGACCCCTGACTATCTAATAAAAGCTGAGATAAGCGCCCTGAAGAGGGAGCTGGGAAGCTAGGAGAGCATATACAAGCTGCTGATAGAAAATCCTAGTGGAGGCAGCTTGGGGAGGCGTTGTGACCAGGAGGTGCCTGAGCTTTAAATTAAAAGACAGGAACAGGACAGGTGCGGTGGTTCGTGCCTATAACCCTAGCCCTCTGGTAGGCCAAGGCAGGTAGATTGCCCCGAGCTCACAGGTTCAAGACCAGCCTGAGCAAGAGCAAGACCCTGTCTCTAAAAGTAGCCGGGCATTATGGCTGGTGCCTGTAGTCTCAGCTACTGGGAAGGCTGAGGCAAGAGGATCGCTTGAGCCTAAGAGTTTGAGGTTGCTGTGAGCTATGATGCTAAGGTACTCTACCGAGGGCAACAAAGTGAAACTGTCTTAAAAAAAAAAAAAAAGACAGGAACAGAGTTACAGGCAAAGGAAAGGGCACGTTCAGAGGCTGGAGCGGGAGGAAATGTGTGGTGTTGTTAGAAGAAAGGGGGGCATTGGCCAGAGAACGGAAGGGAAGCTGGGGCGGCGGCAGCTTGGGGCTAGATACCGGGCTTTGTGGGCCATGTTTTCTGACAGTCTTCTGTTGTGGTCTTTGTTCCTAAATGCATGGCAAGACTTGGAAGGGTTTTAAGCAGGACCATGATGTGACATAACAGTATTGCATCTTTAAAAGGCTTACATCTGGCTGACGTGAGGAGACCTTAGCCTTCTAGATGTTGCTATGAAGGGAACAAGGGTAGATCCGGGAGATTCACTCCAATGCAAGTGAGTTGAGGGGGTGAGAAATGACAATGTGATGAGAGTGGTGGCAGAAGAAAAGTGCACGGGGCAGGGCCAGGTAAGGTAGAAGATGTGGAGATGAACCCAGCAGGGAAGGGGAGGACCACATTCCCCTGGAGGGGAGAGACGCTACACTCAGAGGCAGAGTCAGGATGCCCCAGGGCCACAGGCTGGTGAACACACCTGCAGGTGTGGCAAGAGGGCACACAGGGAAAGGAAACAGAAAACAGGCAAGAGACACTTAGAGAGGCAGACTGCAGCTGGGAGGATATGAGTGACTGACAGTTGGGCCAATGGAAAGGTGACCATGTCAACAAACATCGGATCCTCAGAAGCTGGCACCAGGGAGATCTCACTACAGGAAGCAAAGTGCCAGTCACCAGGTTGGGGCTTGGCAGCTAGAACCCACCCAGCAAGGGACAGGCTCTGGTGCTAGTGATGGGCTACACAATCACAGTCTCAGGCTTGGGAAGACAACAAGGGTCCACCAGTAAAATTGGGGGTGAAAAGTGGGGAGAGGGTGTTGCCACCATGGCCAATAAGAGGCAGCAACCTGAATCCAGGCAGGGCTTAGAGACTTACTCCAAACAGTGCTCCTCGAATCCCTCTGGTTGTAGGAGTCAGGGACTGGGCAGAGTAACCGGCCCGCAGGGGAAAGGAGCAACTTACAGGGAAACAGACATGGCTCAGCCACAACACTGTCAGCACCCCACCGTGTTCACTGGGGCCAACTGATTGTCACCACACCAGCTGGGACACAGACAGCCCCACACCCAGGGTCTTCTTCAGCAAGATGAGCCAGTGAAGAGAGCAGACAAATGATGCCTGGGTGCTCTGCCCACGCTGACATTAGTGAGCATGTCACATCCATTCATTCATTCAACAAGCACAGAATGGATGCCTGCTGAATATGGGCCATGTGCTTTGGGGACGTGATAATAAACAGGACATCACTTCTGCCCTTAACGTGACTATGGTGCAATGAGATAAGAACAGTTTTTTTAGCGTACACACAAAATGTTGAAGGAGCAGAGAGAAAGAAGTGATATGAAGGATGTTCAGGAAAGGTTACATAGCCTGACCCGAGGACTGCGCGGATTTCACCAGGAAGAGAAGCCAGGGCAAAGGTCTTCCTGGAAGAGGGATCAGCTCGAGCAGGAGCCCACAGCTGGGGATTCCCAGTATTCCTGCCTGCTGACGGCACATGGTGCACAGAGCCAGGGAGAGGAGGACATGGAGAACAAAAGGTAATTTGGGGACAGACCAAGATAGTGCCAGAGTGCAGGCTTCACTCTGTGAATGTGACAAGTTATCAAAGGCATTCTGAGGCTGAGCCTTGTCAGGTCTGGGCTTTAGAGGAGCAACTCTGGATGAAGAAGGAAGAAGATGGTTTAGGACAGTGGTTCTCAACCTGTGGGTCGTGACCCACAGGAACTGTATTTAAGGGCCGCAGCATTAGGAAAGTTGAGAACCACTGGTTTAGGAGGGTTTTACAGTGAACAGGCGCACGGGGCAGATGTGGTTTTCATGGCACATTCCTTGAGGTCCTAGTGTCAGGGAGCTGCAGGGCCACACGGTGGGGCAAGCGTGGAGAAGAGGTGGCTCCTGTAGCTGGGGACAGAAAGAAGCCCACACAGGAACCACAAGCAGAGCAGCTGCTCCATTCCAACCTTTGTTAGGGCTACAGGAGGCTGCTTTGAAGCCTAGGAGAGGTGGGCTTCTATGCTAAACTAATAGACAGACGCTTACTGTTAAATGTCTCCAAACAGTGGCTGAGATGAAAGCGAGAGAACAGGGAAAGGACAGTGAGCTTGGAAGTGAGAGGACCTGATTCCACCAGCCCCTGGGGGGCAGCATGCAGGTGCCACACAGAGGCTCCAAGACCACCTATGAGGGGGAAGCCCCGAACTGGGACCCATCTCACAGAAGCCAAGGCTGCCCTTTAAGCCTGCAGGATGTTCAGAGAGAGGCCAGGGATCTAGACGTACAGCAATGGACACGCAGGTCCCAGCACCACAGAAGCACATCAGAGGATCAGAGGCACAGACAGAGACCCAGGAGGGAGGAAAGGCCTTAGGGAACCAGGAGAGTGGAGAAAACAGGTGAGTCATGGAGGAAATATCGGTGACATAAGAATATGAAACAGCAGGTGGACACCACAGGGGTGTCAGTAACATGAAGAGCACGGACCCCAATTTCTTTCTATGGTTGATAAGCCACTACTGCCTTCTATGTTCAGTGCCTAAACCAAGGGCGCCACGCTCCCTCCTGGGGCTAAACCTCCACCTGTGGCAGGAAGGGTGGGGCCGTAAGTGGATATATATGGGCAAGGTGCTTGGCTTCTCCTGGGCCAGCTGACTATACTCCCAGTGTGAGGTCCCTGATGGGGC